CACAAAACACAAGTTGCTGCTGAGCAGCTGATGAAAATAAAGCTGCCCTTTCCCCCCCATACTAAAATGTTCATAAGTATGCATAATAAAATTCCATATAGGAAAACAACACAAGAAGCAGTCTTCAATGTGAAGCAACTCTTGTTCACTACATACAGAAAACAGTGATGCAAGAAGTTATGCCTCATTCATCTACAGGTTCATATCTTATCATTACCAAAAATGATGTACGTCACAGACCTTTCATATACCTTAACTTTGTTCCCTCAGTCTATTCTCCCCCATGCCTTTTCCTCATCTGTCATCATCTTTTGTGAATGTCTGGTATATTTCGGTGGGAGGGGATTTTTTTTTATTATTAAACTTCCTTTTCTGCCATCAGTGGAGGCTCAATGTTCAGCAAAGACAAGTGAATAAAAGGCAAGCCTATGGCTTGGTGTACCTGGAAAACTTGATGGAGATTTTCTGCATTAGCAATTATACAGGAGCTCGTAAGCATCATGTAAAAAGTCTACCCTATTACATGACCATGTAAAATGCCAGTAAAGTTGACTGTTTAACTTTACTGGGTGTCAGTGTAACACAAGAAGTTTAATCATTAAAGCAAATACAAAAACACAATGTCACTCAACTGCCAAAAGTAACCCCATAATCAGTATTTCAAAATAGAGCATACTGAATCACCCTCACCTAGACTGTCACTCTAGCAAACCAAAACAACATGAAAATGCACACAAGTACATTCAAATCATTCTAGAAAACAAGCTTAAATATGAAGTGCTACTAGAGATGGACAAAATACCGTTTCACCAAAATACACAATTTTGTCAAACCAAAAAGCTGTGTAGAGAAGCATCATTTTCATCAGTAGAATTGAGACTGCCCTAGAATGTGCTGGGAAAACGCACATTCAAAGCTCTATTTCTACCTCATATAGCAATATGCAGCTTTGGAATAGGGACTTCAACTGGGGTCCCAAACCCTTGGGTCCTTTGAGTCCTAACCACAGCCGTGGATGCACCCTTCTTCCAAATTAAAAAGCTCTCATTGCTAAGGGTCTACTTAACATGCAGCACGACAAAGCAATTTCTGGAACTTGGTCACAGCACGAAGAGCTGATTTCACAGCCCCACCCTTTGCCACCAATTGGTGGAGGGGCATATACTGTATAATATACTACAATTTAACAGCAAATTCCACAGAAAGTAAATCATGTCATATAATTTATCACATCATCATCAATACAAACATTACATTTAAATCTACATTTAAAAATATTAGAAATACAAGTTTATATACAAATGCAAATTGTAACTTCTCATCATTTATTATTATATGTAGCATTCTACAAACAGTTTAAAAATACTAATTAAGGCTAACCTTAATAGAAGTATTTTCACTTTGCTGAATGGCACCTTCATTTAGCCTGTCACTAGCAGACTAACTCAATCATGTGATCTATGGCTGCAGCAATTGTTGAGTTGTCTTTGTATTGCAGTAAGCACTGGATCATACAAATAATATGCTTGGGTTTTTTTAGGTTGATTTCACAGGAAATCACAGCCAATACAATATTTCCTGGTGATCGTGGACAAGGCCATTTTCTGCATACATGGCAAAACCACGAATTAAACAGACCCTTAATCACTGTCCTTGGCAAGCAGCAAACCAAGGAAGGACAGGAAGCAGAAGGCAGAGATCAGGCAGAGAAAGGGGACTGGAGTGGCACAGAGGGAGGGTGAGGGGCTATTTTGTGATGCCTATCTTCTCTGTTTATAACAGACTAGATGTAGTTTATCTTAACCTCATAGTGACTTAGCAAAAAATATTTCTGCATTTCTACCTAGAATTTAAGTAACTGGCATCAGGCTAACGCAACAGAAGAGAGCTGCATCTCTATGCAAGGGTTTAGAATGTGTCAGAAGCTTGAAGACACCAACCTTTTGAAACTATTCCCAGCACACTTCACTACCTTTTCTGTACTCTGTGCAATTCTTCACAACCGCACAAAACTTTGGGTTTTTCTTCTTTGGAATTTTAACACTTATCTTTCTCATCTTTTACTCTTTTAAACTTCATCTGCAGCAAAATCAAATGTTTCTTTACTAGATACAAGAGAAACAGAGGAGGCTGGCCAGTTCTTCTTGTTCTCTCTCTGCAGGGTGCTGTAGGTATAAACTGAATAAATCCTGTTTCCCTCTGCAGGGGGTTCACGAAGTGTGTATTTACAGCACTAAATGCTTTAGCTTCCGATTATCTAGTTTGAGATTCAGACTGCTGCTAGACAAACAAATGGGAATAATTATGGGTATTTGTGCTCATGTGACTTCATAGAGAAATCTGAAAAGAGCAACTGAAAGCAAGTATAGGTACAGTGCATACAAATGTCATGAATGCAGAAGTCAGCCAGATCATGCTTTTCCAACATGAGAAATCAGATTATTGTGGAAGTGCCTAAATATATTTTAAGAAGGAAAGTCTTTAACATACTATACCAATCCACTCCCAACACTTCACTGCTTAGGAGTCCAAAACTACTGTGATGATGACGTCAGAGATAACACTAATGACAAAGTAGTACTACGAATTGTAGCATTTTGGCCAGTTGCAGTAGAAGACAATTTGTTTCATTTTATTTATATAACCCCAGAGGTTTTTTTGAGAAGCACAGAACTATTAGTTTACTACAAAATAAATTAAATTCTTTTAAGTTAAAAAAGCAAGCAAAACCAGATTATCAAGGACATGCAGACTCATGTCTTAAGACTTTGCTGACACCGTTTTATTATCTGCTTCACACAGAAGAAACTCACTATCGGATGGACAGCAGTAGAAGGTAGCCTAAAACAGATATAAAAATCCAACCAAACTGCAAAGCTATGCAATCAGCTCAACTCTACTACATCATAATAGATCACAACCCATCTAAGCCTTACCGACGTATGAAAGTTTCTATTGATATAGCATACTTCAGTCTACCTGCCTTGTTCCCACACAGCAGCAGTGGTGCCCATCTGCCCAGCACACAATGCTGCTCTGCCTCCCGGCTGGACTGCACCCCGTCTGCCTACCTCTGCCTGCAGCAGCACAGCTGACTTGAGGAAGGACGGGGCACCAAAATACAAGTTCGTCCAGGGTGCCGTTTTCCCTAAGGCTGGCTCTACTGCCACACACTCACGTTCACTATAGTCAGTAGAAAAACAAGGGATCACCTTAGACAGTCAATACCAGGACTTTTGTTTCCATTTTCATCAACTGGACAGGACAGCCTACAAAATCTGAGACTGTTCCAGTCAAACCAGGATGCATGGTCACCCTGACTATGCCAGTAGAGAACATCTCTGGAATCACAAATGCATCCCCACCACAACTTCGCCTACCAGCCCCACCATTGAAGAGACCTATGGCTGTAACATACCAAGACAACTAGGTCTACTGAAGATCATCTCTTCAAGAGAAGGATTTTCTCTTCATACCTTCTATAAAGTACTCAAGAGACTGTCAAAACTATACAAATAAAAACAAATAACATGGACTAGTACAGCAGCAATCTTCTCTTTAACAAGCCATGCCTAGCAGTGTCAATTTTACTCAAAGTACAAAGTTTGCACAAACAGATACATCTTCTATCAAGCAGCACTTCATATTATGCCCAATGCATATGGATACAAAGCAGAAGCATTTATCATCTTTAGGATACCACTGAAGAAGGAAGAAAAGTATCTTGGGCTGTTAGCAACTAGGAAAGTGTAAAGAATGAAGTTCACTAACCAAGAGTGAAAGGTCTTCTTCAACAATCCAAAGAAAGGGAAATCATTCAGTAAAATATGACATGTTCTAAGAAAAGCTTTGAGTTCACCAAACAAACCTGATCAACAACAAGCTTCTGGTACAAGTAAAGAATCAGTAGTCTGAGTAGCAGTCTTGATATAATTTGTATACTCTTGATATAACTTTAGGTGAAAGACACACCTACACCATGTTGACGAACAGTAGTACAAATGTAAATAAATAATCATCCTTCAGTTTCTCTCCCAGGGACTTTATGAAGCAGGGCCTAAGCTACTTGAATAGCCTTCTCCTTCCCCCCCCATTCTAAGTCCAGCATTGACAAAGTAAGCACCCCTGCTCATTCCCATTTAGATGACCCAGGACAAGGCAGAGAAGACTACTGGGAGCAGGCCTGAGTAAATGCCCTATAGATAGATTTGTGCTGGGCTGTCCCACAAGAGCTTGAGCATAGCATAAAGAGGCACTTAGGGCTGCTTCCCAGGCATCTGCTCTGGCTAACTGCCATTCATCTATGTGACCAAGGAAGAGCAAGTGGGAATTACTCCACCAGCAGTGGATCTGAGGTTTGAGATTTTTTTTCTTCAAAGCAGTTCTTTAAATAAATCTTACCATTTTTAAAGAAACGAACAGGAATGTTTGGAAGATGACAACACACTTGACTACTTCATTTTTAGAAACTAATCAATTTAAATTTTATGATATCCCTTTCATGATTGATATAAATAGAGTTTAATTCAAATGAAATAAAACAGGTGATCAGTTCAGCAACAGAACTGCCTTCCATATCCAAGACAGAAGCTGAAATCTCATACGCCTCTTGTGGGACAGAAGAGGTACGATTATATGGACCCTGAGCAGACACTAAGAAGTTAGTTCTATTTGAAGTAAATCTTTTTACGCCTGACCAAAATATCAGACTACAGAAAAACCCATCATAAAGAATCATCTCCTTTTTTGTGTGTTCAAAGCTCTACTATCAGACACTGTCCCTTCTATGCCTCTGCCTGGCAACCTCTATCCTTCCCCCTCCCGAACCCAAATTCAGTATTAGTTAGTAACAGTTAAGAAAAGTTACTATAAAAAGAGCCACAACCTTAACCGAGCCAACTTTGCTTTAAATAAACAAAGCACTACAGAAAGTTAAGTCAAGGCAACCTTAATGAATGAAGTGTAAGAAAAAAATTAAGCTGAATAAAGTTACCACTGACTTTTGAACTAAGTTGTTTTGTCCATCTTAATTTTTCTTTGAGGCAGTAGTGGATTCTGTTGATAGCAAACCTGCAGAGAAATTATTGTAAATACATTTATTGAAATTATATCAAATTAAACAAAATGTTCATTTAATAAGGCTGCCCTATGATTAGGAGGAACGTAAACAGTAAAACAATGTGGAAATGGTGAATTATTAAAGCAGTCTGATGGTATCTAAGGAATATTAGTAACAGATTTAAAAAAAAAAAAAACTATACTGAAAAGCTTTCAAACAGCTTGAGTTAAAGGTGTAATACACTACATTACTACAAACGTATTTTAGAAACAGACTTACACCAACATTTTACCAAAATCCCAGGTTGGGCACACAGATTTACATTCTTAATTCCTCTTAGTCTTTACCACAGGAAGAAAATGTAGTTACTCAGTAAGAGAATTATGAAAAATAAAAATTTTCACCATGTCAAGCTACCTAAGAAGAAACATCCTTGCCAGAGAAGAGAAACACAAACTCTTGTTTGTACAGAGTACTGCAGCCCTTTCATCTGCATACTGTTCAAACTAGGTCAAAGGTAGGATCATCCTGATGCTCAGATTACAATGTAAACAAAGTCTACCTCAAGATTCACAAGCAACAGCAGGTATTTTAAAAGTGCATTGACAAAATTATGACATTTCTTTCATTTACCCGTTCCTTCTTCCAACATTCACAGCCGTTACTAGTTATTAGATATTGCAAGAAAAAGATAGATTCTATGAGATAATATAAAGACTTTGAAAAACGGCATAATATTTGCTGTATGCCAGCTGTTATTTGTGCCATTTTACCAACAGGATGCTTAATAAAGTGCATATCAGTTCACGCAGCATACTTACCAAATCCGAAAGGACTGCACAAGGTGTTCGCTCCGTCTGATTTATATTTTCCAGTTTGTTTTCCTTGAAATACTATCCTGAGTCTTTGAGGATTCTACATCCGTGGCTATTTGACATAGAGTTGACCTCTCAGAAATCAGCTACCCATCCTTCTTTTTTTATAGACCCCACAAAGCTGTTTCCAAAATTTGCCAAGTCCATTGATTTAAGAAGCTGTTTTTTCCCTTTTACAGCCTCTTTTTTCATCTATTCCGCATTCATCTTGCTATAATGAGCATCAGCTCAGGATGAAATAAATAAACCTCTTATGAGACCAAGAGTAAAACTGAAAATCCAAATTTCACATCTGAACTGAAGGGCATTTCTCAGCCTCGGGTTCTAAAGGCATCTGCAAAGAACAGCTATCTGGATACCACCATACTGCTTACAGGCAGCAACATTTTTCAAAAAAAAAATTAAAAAGAGGATTCAAATAAGATACAAAAGAAAAAAGGGGAAATAAAGTCCTATTACGCCCTTCATTTAGAGGAGACGTTTCACTGCAGAACAGAATTGGCTATGTCAAAACACTTAAAAATAAAGGTAAAAATATCTGCCATAAAACTCCTCAGCAGGACTGGAGCCGTTAGCAAAGGAATCAAACCCGTTGCCTGGGGTAAAGAAGATGAGCTACAAGCAACAGAAGGGAAGGAAAGAGCGGCGCAGGTTCCCAGCAGAAGGAGTCAGAGCGCGAAACTTCCAGCCCGTGTTCACTCCGTGCCAACAAAGCCGGGCAAGGGAGGAGGAGGAGGCGGCGGCAGAAAGCTCAAGACTTCACAGCCGCGCGGTTCCTTCCTTCGGTCTCCGGCGCCTTCTCAGCAACGAGTCCCGGCCCCGGACCCCCGGGCGCCGCCGCGAATCCCTGCGGACGCAGGTGGCCGGCCACAGCCCCCACAACGCAGCGAAAGGGCCGAGTCTCCTCGGGACCGAGCGGCCTGCAGGGGAAGCGGAACAGAAAGAGGCCGCCCTCAGTCTCCTTCCTCAAAGTTGAGCTCCAGCGCTTGCGAGGGGGGCGGGGAGCACCGTGCGCGGGGAGCGGCCCGGGAGCACAAGAGCAGCTCGGCGCC